AATATTCATATTACTTACTTTTATTACTACTGTTGAGTTAGCTTTCTGATCAGTACAAATGCTGATTTACAATAACATCAAAAATAACCATTCACAGCGAAAAAAAAAACTTTGCATTATTTTTTCAAGGTAAGGAAGAAGACAAAATTTGGAAACCATTTCTAATTTTTGTAACACAAAGATAAGAGACAGTTTCTGTAAAACAATAAGTTCTTTATTCTGCTTTATTGCTCTTAGCACTTCTAGCTTTAGCATTTTCTATAGCTCAATTTACTATCGCCTTTATAGACGAGCCGTTTTTATAAGTTTATCAAAACATAACAAACTTTCAACAAAAACTCAATAAAAATCAAAAATTTTTAAATTTAAAAAAAAAATTGAAAATTTCATTTTGATCTTATAATTTCAAAGAATTTGCCAATAACCACCAACTATTTTAACGATTGTAGATTTGACAAAACTTCACTACCTTAGTTTAGATTGACACTTTGTCACTCAGTGTGACATCCTCACACAGCTTACTTTTTCATAGCTCAAAATTAATATCGAAAATTTTTAGATGAACAATCACATTATTTTTAAGCAAAAGTTTTCTCAAAAAAATTTATTTTTTTCTCTTATATTCTATATTCTGCTTTTTGATATTGTTTTTTTCCTCTTTTTGGGAAAGGCTGCTGTCTGTAAAATATACAGCTAATACTTTTCACTCTGGTAGTTTTTAAAAATTAATGAAAATTTATTTAAAAAATGACCCTCAAAAGCTTATAACTTTTTGGAGAAAGCTTTGAATTTTCTACCGTATATTTTAATAAGTAAGATCAATTCTAAGCTATGTTTCCTTCCCCAAAAAAATGGAATAAAATACTAGCAGTGCGGAATACGTATAAAAAAACACATAATTCTAGGAGAAATAGCAATACAAAATAGAAAAGATGAATCACTCTGCAGACCATTTTCTTTTTTCATTTTATAAAACTTCTTTAATTTATAGATGTTTCAAGAATCTCACCTTATTGATAAATGTTGTTTTCGTATCATCAAGGCGTCTTTCAAAACGATATCTTAGAAAATCCTCATAAGTTGCTGCAGCCATGCTGTTCATCCCCGATGACAGTGTACTAAGAGTTGCAGACATAATGCATGAAACATAAAGGCCAAACAAGCCTGGTGTTGATGCTAAAAATTAACGAACTTTATGTGTACGTTTTTGAAACAAGAACAGAAGGAAGTAAAACTTCTCTAAAAACTTTAAAAAGAACAGACTGCCACTGCAATAAGTCAAAAAACAGTTAAGAAAAATCAGCTTTGGAAAATTTTGAAGCTGTGCATACATTTTCAGTGCTTCAAAACCTCCAAAACCAAGAAAAGCAACAGTAAAGAAAAAAAATGCTTTCCGCTTTTCAAATTATTTCTTTTCTGCTAATAAAAATCAAATTTTATTATAGTACAAATTTCTTACATAAAACTTCATAGGCGAAAAGAATGGTTAGATGGTCAGTATCCGTAATTTCGCCAGTCTCAAATGGGTTACAGTTGTAAAAGTATGCTAAAGCTAAGAATCCGATAAATGAAACAACGCTACAAAGACAGATAAACGGGATAATTGTCCAATATATAATACGTCTGGCATCATCGATAGCTGGAAGCGAGCAGTACCGCTGTACTGCCAGCTGATTAACTCCAAAGGTTGCCAACCAAGTCACAGTACCGCTGAAGACGTTTATCCAGAAACTGTTGTACTAAAAACAGAGACAGTAAGTATATCCAATGTCCACTCAAAAAAACGCTTTTTTTTGTGAAAAAAAAACGTTGCTCTATTGTAATAAAAAAACTGTTTCAATTACCTATCAATTTGAGCCTTCTTTAAACCGAATAATGCTATCTGCGCACAAAAGGAAGAAATTAACCTCATTGGAACCTCAGTTAGCTAAAGTCATTTCTAAGCATTAATTCTACATGTCAATTACGATCAGTTAGCCATTAGTTAAATTATACTGGATATTCTACCTGGGCTGGAGAAATATCCATTCGCCACAGATCATTAATTCGACCTGTAGATTCTGCAATATTCCAAACACGTTTGAAACCTCCAACTCTGGGATGAATTAATCCATTGAAAATTACTGCTAAAACGCCACCATACATCATTACAGCCTACAAAATCGCTTTTCTGTTTCTTTTCAATCTTTTCTATCGAGCAACTTTTACTAAGAGCTAATCAGAATAAAATTTATCATTTTGTTTGTATAACAGTATTTCTAAATCTCATTAAAGCAAGAAAACTATATGAGAATATCTTACTTCTAATAGATACTCATAACTTATCAATTATTGATCAAAGAATGAGAAGAACCTGCAAGGAATCCGTCCAAACTACAGCTTTTATACCTCCAATTGTAGTATACAGTGTAGTCGTAGTACCTAAAATCTAAAATCAATATTAGATACACAAGTTTGACATTTCCAAGTGGCAGTTTTATTGAAAGATTAAAAGCGCTATAACTTAACTTTGGATATACACAGACAGTCAAACAACTGAGCATATCCAAAAAAAATAATGAAATAACTATTCAATTTCCATCAATTTCACGTCTGTCTTTTTTAAATCTGTCTTTTTTAAATTTTCTCAAATTCGGTACGGTATCAACCAAAAATTTTATATATTTTTAGTGATCAAAAGAGAAGGCAAAAATATTGACGTTCCTCAGAATTACCAAAAACTTAACTTACCAAAATCAAAATATATTTGTTGATACCCAAAACTGGTGACAGTGCTACAGATGGAGCATAAATGACAACGGCAATGTATGTTAAGTTCAGCGTTAAGAAAAGCAAAGAAAATGTTTGGCGCATTAGCCGTGAGTGAAACCTGAAATACGAGACTCTAAAATATCCGACACGAATTGCTCAAGAGGAAGAGTAATTAATTCTGAATCTAAATATATGCTAATTTTTGTTACTTTTCTTACAAATTATAGAACTGAGATAATTTCTGAAAAAAATCAAATTTCGCTCTTTCATTATTCGACTAAATGACACTTCAATAGAACTGAGAAATTGAAGCTTTGCAAAATAACCTGCATTCAAAATATTCGTGCAAACACGTTGCATTTAACTTGTAAAATATTGGCAAGAAGATCCAAGCACTGATAACTAAAGATAACCCACCAATCACGAAATTAAGCCATATATGAGCTCCTAAATAAGTTCCAGAAGAATCAAATAATACAGATAACAGCAAAAATAATGAAAGTAAAAAATGTAAGTCAATCACGGTAAAAATTTTTTGTTGCGCAGTAGTATCTATTCAAACCTTTAAAAGTTTAGCTGCTAGTTCCACAACAAAACCTTAATAGACATAATCTTTCACTTAAAAAGTTTGACCAAAATAAAGAACTTCTTTTTTGTTTACAACGTCCTTAACGTCTTTTTCTCAAAGTATCGGCTACCTAATAACCTAGAGGAAAAACAGCTTTAGCCCGTTGGATGTTGAAAACGCTAAATATGTGGCTAATAGGTAGGCTCTGCTTCAAGATGAGAGCTCACTATTATCTTTAAAGAACTTGGAAAGTGAAGCTGTTAACGAATTTAAGCCGTCACCACTTTTTCAAACTTATCCTAAAGTCAAAGTTGACATCTGGCTATCGACCTTGAGTTCCAGAAGTTAAGACTTATTAGTGTAAACCTTAAGTAAACTCTAATAAGGTTCCGAAACTGACTTACTCTCAGTACTTTCTGCTAAATAAAATTTAAATTGTTAGCCTGATAGATGTAAACCGCGGTCAAAAAGTCATGCGTTAGTTGTTCAAATAACGGTATAGATGGTAGTTTACATTGAAAAAAAAGCCCACCTCGCTGAAACATTTCTGTTGGAACTCCAAGCATCAAAATTCCAGACAGAAATGTTGTTAAAAGGCTAAGAGCAACGGGCAGCGGTGGCAACTGTCGTCCTCCTAACATATAATCATCTTTTTGTGATCCTTTTAAAAGTTTAGAACGTACTAATTTCCGACTTCTAAAATTTGAATATATTATAAATTTTTATATCAGCTGGCAATTTGCATTACATTATTCATTCAGTGAACTGCAGAAGTTAGATTATCTTTAATTGCTGCTAATACTGTAAAGTGTTCACCTGAAAGCGTGATAGATTCCAGTAGCAACAGAAAGAATAATGCTGAATCCAACAACAAAATAATCAAAAATTGATATCGATGTGGTGTCAAATGCCGATTTCATCTTCACATTCCGCAAATAAACAGGAGTCAGTAATAACAAAAGTTCCTTGTTTCTTTCAAAAAAAAAAAAAAAAAAAGG